GAAAATAAAATTCTGTTCTTTAAGCCGCCCAGTCCGTGGCAGCCCTAGCAGACTAATACAGCACATAATACGTAAACAGTCAAAAACTGGAAGCGTGAATTGTACAGATTTTGTTAATGCGCGTGATCAAAACAGTTTGGGGGACGGTGCTCTGGGTGCTAGGGTTCTGAGTCGAGAAGGCAGTGAGTGCTAAGAGCTTCTTCAGGGGAAAAATAGGAACTCCATGAGCCACTGGATATAGGAAATGAGAGGAAGAGAAGTATTAATATGATCTCTGGGATTTTCAGTCTGGGAGCGGGGGAGAGCTATCTCTAGCCCGTGGGAGATAAGGATGGCAAGAGTTGATCCCACGGGAGGATAAGAGAAGCTCAAGGACCACAGCACTGGATGTCCTCCGAATGAAAAAGAGATACGGCCAGAGAGGGGAAAGGAAAACAGGGATTTCAGGGCCACAGAGGTCAAGGGAAAAGAGAGTTTGGAGGAGGGCAGGGTGGGCAACAGTATCAAGGAGGTCAAGTGGAACGACCCCAAGAAATGTCTTGTGGAATTCCACAAGGAGGTCATTGAAGACGTTTAAAAAGTGACTCCGGTAGAGGGGAGAGGATGCAAGCTGGACTGTAGGGGGTTAAGAAGGGACAGATGGGGAGGAAATGAAGGCATCAGGTTATGTTTAGATTTTAACTATTAAAATGTGTCAAAGTCAGAACTGCAGGAGGTGGGAGGTGAGCGTTCCCTTCATCTCCGACCCCTGAGGAATTCCCTGTTACTAGTTAAACAGTGTTAAGTGGTAACGGGGGCTGGAAAGGTGGGACATGGGGGTGAGGGGGGGATGGTAAGGCAACAATAAAGTGCTCAGTCCTGTCCCAGAGCCTTCCAGACAGCTCTGGCTTTGTGTGTGAGTTTGTGTGTGGGACAGAATACACGACAAAGCCAGATGGGACACATAATTCTCAAACCCATATGCTGATTAGAAGTCTGGAAATTTCTCCCAAATTTCATACCTTATTTGATAGTTGAATGTCAGAAGATCTGATATAAAGGGCGGGAATAAATGGCAGGAAGAGGCTGGAGTTCATTTGGGCATCTCGGCCGCCAGCAATCGGACACCCAGAAGACACCACCTCAGTATTCTGCCTTTGCCTGGGTGTCAAATTGTTTACTATCCATTTCACAAGTGTGCAGACAAATTGAAAGTCACATGTGAGAACTAATGAATCCTTATAAAATTCTTTGAGATCCACAGATGAAAGGGACTGTTTAAGTACAGAGTACTATCAGCTAACGGTGGAGCACACTGAATGAATAGGATTCTCCCAGAGAATAAACTATGTCCTGGGAATAAATTCAGTAACTGTGGAAAATGCGTTAAACATTTTAGGTGAAAAGCCATAACTACTGATAACTCTTCAGCAGGCAATCTTTCCAATTCTAGAATTATCTTACTAGTTCACATCCTGGGATGTGTGTGGACCTCATACAGAATTTCAACATCTGCTTCATAGAATCATTGACTCTCAGGTCTGGAGGGGTCACCTGATCCTGACACCCCTTTGCTCATTAAACGCCCTCTGTGATATCTATAAAAAAAAATGGCCGCCCACCCCATGCTCAATTTCTCCAGTCGGGCACTGATGAGCCCCCATTCTCACTTTCTTCTGTCTGAAGACAGTTTTAAAAGTCCTTTTTGCCATCTTCGCAAGCCGAGGTTCATCTAAGGCTTCTGCTGCCCCAAATTCCTTCCCATGCTCATCCTCGGTTGTTCACTCCTCTCTATGTTTTTGCACATCTTTCAAAATTCTGATCCCACTGGCGAGGCCCCAAATTTTCTGCAATAATGACTTAAAATTTTTTGTGCAAATGTGCACACACTCCCCCAATGGTTTTTTGTGCACAGTGACTTGCCTAAACGCAAAAAATAAAACCTGACGTGACTGCAGGGTCAATATGATTCATATCAATTCTCAGAGAGTGGTTTAGCAGGTCACTTCGCGTTAGGCTGAAGAGGTCTTCTTGAGATCAGTGGAACTGATGTTACAGTCTCAGTCCCTGGCTCAAGCCAACAATGAACTCTTTGTACCAGAGAGCATAACTGGTTTGCATAAAGGAATGATGGGACTCGGGACTGGCTTCCCATCCAGACCCAAGGCCTCCTGCCAGCGCCCTCCGTCATGACAGGGTGAGGCAGAGCGTGAGTGGCTCGGAACGATCACTGCACGGGCCTCTAGAAAAACAGATCACGGTAGCATCCACACAGGGAGACCGCAGGCTGGTGCTCTGCCAGGAAGAAAAGACAATGACAGAAAGAAAGACAGGAGCCAGGAGAAATATGGCCGCATGGAAATACGTCTTAGTTAAGGGAGGGGAAGAGGGGTGATATACAAAGAAAAATGGGAGGAATATTCAGAAATTACTCCAGATGTGCCTTTGCACAGTCTCATCCCATATTTGGACCCCCAGGTGGACATCCAGGGTGTGCTTTTTTTTTTTTGTATTTATTCATTTATTTGGTTGCTCTGGGTCTTAGTTGTAGCATGTAGGACCGTCGTTGCCACGTGCGGGATCTTCATTGTGGCACGTGGGATTTTTAGTTGTGGCATGCGGACTCTTAGCTGCACCATGTGGGATCTAGTTCCCTGACCAGGGATCGAATCTGGGCCCCCTGCATTAGGAGCGTGAAGTCTTAACCACTGGACCACCAGGGAAGTCCCCATCCAGTGCATATTTAAGGACAGTCTTAAAGCTTTAGGTATGTGTATTATGCCTGCGGGGCGGGGAGATTGCAGGCAAGAATGTGCACGTGTGCACATGCGTATCTGTCTGGAAGGGAGGGCTGTCTGTAGGCCATGGTGGGGCTGGTATGTGCTGGTTTATTGCCCCTTGGCTCAGAGGTTCAGGTAGGGGGAAAAGTACAGGTAGGGTGGAGTAGGGTATGTACCCATTGCAAAGGTAGGGATCTACCCCTGAGGTGCACACTCCTGAAATCTCATTCAGAGTTCAAAGAGGTAACAAAAGGGGTGTGTGTGCCCACAGTGTGAGTCTGCCACACATGAAAATAGATGCCCAAGTGTTTACACTCTAGAATTTTACGGTGCAAACCAGGAGGCAGCTCCTAATAATGTGGCAACAAAACAGTAAATGTTGAAGCTGCGGTCTCTCAGCAGGCACGAAGAAATGGTTGACCTTGGATCCGCGGGCAGCCATGAATACAATGAGGAAGTTATAGAGGAGGAATTATCCAAAACGGAAGTTTCAAGGTCACAGAGAATTTTTCTTCTTATCCAAACGCAACAGTCTCAGGAATGCCATTCGGTGAGCACAGGCTGTGAAATTCCACAAAAATGGAATTCTCTCCACATGGGATCCTCAGTTCACTGAGGTTTTCACCCCACGTTTATTTGTGGAGGGAGCGGCTGAGGGGAGCTCTTGAAATTCAAGCTCTTCCCAGAAAGAGTGCAGAACTGACCAGGCATCTCAGCTCATCTGAACCCAGGCCTTTTTCATGTATTTGACAAAAAGAGCTAACTCTCTAAGAAGACCATTTTCACATTAGCCACATATTTAACGTTAATGTTCATATAACAGTTCAATGGGATATTTACCAATAACAAATTTTAAGAGCGCTTTCAAAGATAGGAATTCAGGCAAAATACTACTCCCCGCATGGGTGAAAAGGAGGCACACTCTTCTCAATCAGCCTCAAAGATCATCCTGTTTGGGGGGAAGGAGTTATATTTTTTCTACTCAAAAAAATTATTTGAAAAAAAAATTATTTGAAATAATCTGATGTGGTTTCACAACATTGGTTGGATCCATTGCTAACAAATGGCCAATGTCACGTTTCAAGAGAAAAGTAAAACTGTCATATGGACATGATGTCGTGGGTGTAGGAACGAAGGTGTGTGTGCAGGGACAATGGAGAAGGCTGCTGCCCAGTGCCGGGGGCCCCAGAAAGGCTGCCCAGAGGGGCTGACACGTGAGTGAGTCTTGCAATGCAGGCAGGGGAGGAGGGGGCTAGAGATCGTGCCAGACAGAGAACAGCGAGAGCAAAGGCACGGAGGGACCCAACAGACGATGGGTCCAGAAGCGAGGAAGGGGCATCACGAGATGTGGCTGAGGATGCGGGCAGGGATGGGCCACAAAGCCCTTGGAAGCCAGGCTGGGAGGCTGGATTTAATCCTGGGGGAGACAGGGGCCTTCCCGGGGAGTGACGTGGTTGGACATGCATCTAATTTTAGGCGGAAGGTGGCAAAACTACAGCAGGGCAGGGAGATTGACCAGAAGGTTAACATAGTCAGCAAAACACGAGCAACAGACAGCAAATGAGTCAGCAGAAGACCTTTTTTTTTTTTTTTTTGCGGTACGCAGGCCTCTCACTGCTGCGGCCTCTCCCACCGCGGAGCACAGGCTCCGGACGCGCAGGCTCAGCGGCCATGGTTCACGGGCTCAGCCGCTCCGCGGCATGTGGGATCTTCCCGGACCGGGGCACGAACCCGCGTTCCCTGCATCGGCAGGCGGACTCTCAACCACTGTGCCACCAGGGAAGCCCAGAAGACCATTTTTGACACCAACTTCTTTGTCTCTCTATACAAGAAGCCATGTGACACCACCCTCTGTGCCCCGTGGAAGCTATGTTCATTTTGAAAATAACAAAGGGAAGGGAGTCCTGCTTGACATTTTTGGCGGGGAGCTTAACCTTTCAAGCTGAACCACTTATTATCCGATTTTCTTTTCCAATCAGAATCTTTGTGGGGGGGAGGGGCAGTGCCGAGAAGGAGCAAATGAGAAGCTTCTGTATGAGGGAGCTGGGGCCACAGAACTGCGCTGCTAACCTCCCCACACCAAGCATTTTACTTCTCCTAGACATCTGAAAAAATCTTGACTTTCATACCAATGCAGGCGAGGCATTTCTAACCACTCTGCTAATTTCAGGACAGCCTGCTCCTTAGGAGCCTGGGAAGAGGGCAGGTACCAGCTGGTAGCAAATGGAATTCACTACTGACCTTAAATTTAAACGAGATCCATGCAGAGGAAGGACTTCATATTCTGCTAGGCTTCGAAGCTCCATTATCTTCCGAGTCATTCTGTCCTGGAAGAAAACAGCAAGTGGGCTCGTTAAATTACTCATATGTGAAAGATCGATTCACACTGCATTAAACGAAGAGCTGACATTTCATGGACAAGATGAAGTACAGTTCAGAACGAATTACTACTGTGACAATGCATGCAAAAGCCTGATTTTTTTTTTTAAAGCCTGATTTTTGAAGTTTCATTTATGCAGATGACAGATAACCTGACTCTTCATTTTGGTGATCAGGTCAGCTAAAGCGTCATTTAGTATTGCTGCGCGACAGTAGCAAGAAATGGTTATAAAGAGAAAAGGTTGCAGGTCCTGTATTTGATTCAGACTCTGCAGCTGAGATAACGTTTTCAGTGAAATGTTATCTCCTTGCCGGTTAATACGATCCAGCAAATGTAAAATGAAGGGGTTTAAAGTTCATATTTGTGATCACAAAGTCTTGGGAATGGGTAGGATTCTCCTTCAAAGATGAAGAAATAAGATCCAGAGAAGCTGTCCTACCCACAGTCTAGTGACCGGTTACTGATCGAACCACTGCTCTTTCTGCTACATCAGACTTCATTTAGGTGTTGGCGTTCTGAAACAATACCTCTTATCATGAAGACTTCTGAGTCACAAAACACTTTAAATTTCACACTGATTTTAAACTTATTCTGTAGTCTTTTAAAATGCGCAAGTCATTTTCATTTTTGCAAAGAAATTCTAATAATGAGCTCGTCTCCACTTTTCATGGAGAAATGAGTCCTACTAGGGTATGACAAAACCAACTCGCCCCATGACCTTCCCCTATGTACAGCCAGAGGCTGGCCTGGGCTAAACCCTAGAAGAAATTGCTCTCCCTGAAGGGCTATCTGTCCCTGGCTCCATGGCACTTGGAAAACCTCAGAGTGCTGAGTGTCTGGAGGCCTCAGGCTGATGGACTTCAAACCTCTCATTAGTTAAAGAAAGTGCAGCGCAGTTCAGCTCCTCAATTAAAGGGTGAGCCAGTTGGAGAAAACCAGAAAGAAACATGTGTTAATTGAACATCTGTTGGCGCTAGGCCCTGTGTTCTCTGCTTTAAATACATGATCTCATTCTGTTCTCACAACTGTCCCACAGGTATGCCTGGGCACCTCTCCATTTCACACATTTTACAAAAGAGGCTGGGTTCCTTGGTTCAACTAGTATTTACCTGAGCATCTGCTACCTGCCAGGCACCAAGGCGGGTGGTCAGTCTACAAAGGAGAAATGGATAAGCCCCGCCTCCTGCCCACAGTGAGGTCACAGTCTAGCAGGGATGGGGCAGCGGGGAGTCAAGCAAGTTAATCAGAGCTATGTTGTTCCAACAGCGGCTTGCAGCCCAATTAGATAGAAGATCACGAAGCCAGTTTAGTGGGTCTTGAACAGCACTCGAAATAAATAAATGAACAAAGTAGAACAGAATAGCACAGAATGGAAAATATCAGAGAGCATGGTGTACAGGTGAGGCAACTCACATGGATATATGTCTATATCTCTGCATCAATCATATATATACGTCTGTGTGCATTGATTTGCAATGGAAAATATATTTCCTTTTGTAGGTGATGGTGGAAAAAATTGTGAAAGCCGTCAAGTTATAGAGCAAAGTGACAAGCGCTGTGTTAGGAGGTCATGCGTAATGGTAAGCGCGCACAGGAGGGAGCATCCGCCTGCAGATGAATTTGCACTTAGCTCCAGAGGAAGCTGGGGACAATTTTGGTTCCTCACCGAAGACAAACCTCTTAAGGATGGGATGCCCACATCTAATGCTCAAAGCTAGGAAGAGCTTGAGAAAGGCTGGGGTGAAATTTCCAGGACTAGAGAGGAAAACAGAGTAGGGGCCCTTCTCCCCCAGTCTGGGAAAGGTGGCAGCCATGAAGCCACAAAAGGCACAATAACACCAATGGAGTCAGACTCAAGAAGAGGGGATTAAACCTCAAGGAGATGGAACCCCAATCTAGCCCAAATTGCTAGAACTGTGGAAGCTGCTGGAAGGTCTCTCAATTCCCAGCATCCCACTGTGAAGAGAGTGTAGGAGAGCCTCCGGAGTGCAGAAGGTGGAAGCCAGGGAGCCAGATGTGGGCTCCTTTAAATGATCTTAATCTCAAGAACAGCGCCTCTTTTGGGATGACAGGTTACTGCGACCTTCCTTAGCAGGATAAAACAGCTAACTCAGTTTTCTTTTCTTTTAACACAACTTCCTTCGGACATATTCTAGATACCATGCTTACAGGTTGAGGATTTGTGGCAGTCCACTGGATGGCCACGCGGAGATACTTTCTCAGGTGTCTGAGTATGGACTCAAGGTGAGAGAAAAAAGATCTTCCCGTAGAGTAGCCTGAGTTACTCATTCTGTAAGCCTCTCTGATGTGGGTTTAAGAGACTATGCAGTAAGACCTAGCTCAGGGCGGCAGCTAAATCCACTGTGTCATTTTGGTGACTTGGTTATTGCATAGTTATTTTTTAACAAGCAATGACATGAGATAATGTCAAAGTAATTATCTTATCCGTTATTTAACCCATATTTTTTTGTGGTACAGACTTATGTGATGATGACAAGCACTGGGTACTATACAAAATAAACAGCCCCAGAAATGTATAGAAGAGTAATGAATAGATGTTTATGTTTTATGTTTCTTCACCCATCACCTGCGTCTTTAATAAGTTCCTCTTCACTACCGGCTGAGGAGAGAATACTAGCACATGTTGAAAGCAGGAGAAATAATTAGGGTAGGATTTTTTTATTCTATTAAAACAGAGATAGTTCATATGAAAGCATTTCATGAACTAAATGTTATTCTGCAAGTATTCGCCATTTTAGTTATTATTATCATTATTATTATCAATGCTAATAAGCTATTATCAGGTAAAAAAATATAAAGTATTAGTACCCACAAGTAAATGAAATCATATCTGATGGATCCTGAGTATGCTGTTTTTCACACCTTTTTATTTTTACACCAAGGACTCAGGTTTAACATTTTCAAGAATCAAGATTAATAATAAGGCAGAGGGCTTCCCTGGTGGTGCAGTGGTTGAGAGTCCGCCTGCCGATGCAGGGGACACGGGTTCGTGCCCCGGTCCAGGGAGATCCCACATGCCGTGGAGCGGCTGGGCCCGTGAGCCATGGCCACTGAGCCTGCGCGTCCGGAGCCTGTGCTCTGCAATGGGAGAGGCCACAGCAGTGAGAGGCCCACATACCGCAAAAAATAATAATAATAATAATAATAAGGCAGAGAGTTTAATAAGTAATCATTCTTCATAACAGAAGTATGGATGGACTTTTTAAGTTTTATTTATTTATTTTTCTTTATTTTTTTGGCTGCGTCTGGTCTTAGTTGCGGCGTGTGGGCTTCTCTCTAGTTGTGGCATGCATTTTTGGTTTTTTTTTTCCTCTCTCTAGTTGTGGCGTGTGGGCTCCAGGGCGCCTGGGCTCTGTAATTTGTGGCATGCGGTCTCTCTAGTTGAGGCGCGCAAGCTCAGTAGTTGTGGCACGCAGGCTTAGTTGCCCCACGGCATGTGGGATCTTAGTTTCCCGACCAGGGATCGAACCCGCGCCCCCTGCACTGGAAGGCGGATTCTTTACTACTGGACCACCAGGGAAGGCCCTGGATGGACTGTGATTAATACAGATGATCTTCACCGTACAGATGGAGAAGCGGATGCCTTGCCAGCATCACGTGATGGCAGAACCAGAACAGAAAGGCAGACCCCTGGCACACCAGAGCCCTTGCACTTTAACTTCTCAGCTTGCTCGTGATTTTGGTTTTGGGTTTGCTTTTTCTTACAGAGCCATAGCTGATTTCCCTTCTTTGTCCAGAAGAGAGATGATCATATGTAATGTAATGATATTATATATAAGCACACACATCACAAAATGGTATCAGAGAATGAAAAGCTCTCCTTGAACATCAGCCAGACAGCTTCAACCTTTCCATTGCTCGTCTAGATTCAAAAGAAGTTTTTTGGCTTCTTAGCCTTTTAACTTATTTCTAGCTTTAGGTTTTACCATGTTTCAATTAAAATTAGGTGTTATCACTATGTTTGAAAAAAAAAAGTCTCAATATCATAGCTAACACAAGGTAACTTGTGAGCGAGTGTGTGGCTGGCAGAATTTAACTTAAATACTTTAAGTCCTACTTAAAGGTCATTCAGTAGGTAAATTATAAGGAGTTAGAGGAAGTATCTACAGTTTTTAAGAGTATTAAAAGGTATATTAAATATTTTTAAACAGGCAAATGAAACTTTTGAATCTAGAGATGAAGCACAACTGAGTGATAAAACTATTAAAAGTTAAACACAGGAAAGTGGTCACCACAGGAGGGGCTGGGGGGATGCAGCAGTTCAGTTCTATTTCTTGGCTTTGGTGATCCATTAAGACATACACTCGATTTGTGTGGTTTTCTGTATCTGTGGAGGGTTTTTTGGGGGGTGGGGGCGGGAAGAGGACTCTGATGGTACCAGCCCCATCCATGGGGAGAAAGTCCTTTTGGGGGGGGGCACGGCTTATGGGATCTTAGTTCCCCGCCCAGGGATTGAACCCAGGCCCCTGGAATGAAAGCATGAAGTCCTAATCACTGGAGCACCAGAGAATTCCCTTTTTTCTCTTTTAAACTAAAGGGGGATTTACATAACGAAATCATTTGCTTGAAATAGGGAACTAACAATATAATAATCAACTGTTATTTCCAGGCCTGGTAAGACGAAAAGAATGACAATTTAAGCCTACTTCCCTTCATTTGTTATACAAATGCCACGTTTTGAGGGGCTCTGGTGCAGAGTACCTGTGTCAGTCACTGAGTGGTCTTAGGTAGTATCGGGCTCCTTCTAAGAGTGTGTTCAAAATGATTTCGATGGCAAGTAAGTCTAATCGATTGTACCAACAGCTGGAGGTTTTATTAGCTTTGGAACGAAATTTTTAAATAGATGGTATCCAAAAGTATCTTCAGCTTTATTTCTTGCTTTCAGGTTTTAATCAAGTTCGGAGCAGCGCCCGATCTCCTCCCCCA